ACCTCCACTGAAAACAGAGAGAGACTAACGCCTGTCTGGTGTGTTAACAGGCTGGATGGCACGCCAGAAACTAGTTTCTTTACCTTCAATTATGTTCAATAATTGTTAAAATGACTAAAAAGTTAATATTAAACTTTTAAAATTATTGAATAGTATAAACTTCTTGATATTTACTAAAATAGTAAGGAATTTAAGCCCTAGAACCGATTAATGTATTGGCGGACTGTTACTAAAGCTGGATGCCCGGTCAGTGCAAGTAAAAACATGTTGAGGTCGGTTCGTAAGAAATTCGTTAACCGAATTTTTGTTCGTTAACCGAATTGAAGATCCTTATGGAAGGCAGTTCGTTAACCGAAATTTCGTTAACCGAGGCGTTCGTTAAACGAGGGGTCACTGTACAGTATAGTTAATAATGTAACCCAATCCTCAATTGATTGATCTGGTCATAGAGCAGCTTAACTTCCAGCCAACCTCAGAGGAATACCCAGGGAGGAGGATGAGATTGGAGTCATTCCTCATTTGCTCAGTCATATACAATAATTAGTTTTCAGGATCAACCCCTCATTTATAAATTCTCACAAGACACTTATCTAGAGGGAGGAGGTGAAAAGAAGCTGTACAATACAATCCCAACTAGAAGTATTCTCCACCAATATAAACTGTTACAGAAACAAATCTCAAGTGTTGTCCTGGGCACTCAGAGAACCACTATCTAGCCAATGAGGCAGGTACGGTATTATGCCTTCTGAGTTCGGGACACTCATTTCCCAAAGCAAGTCTAGCCTTGCAAAGAGCCTAGAAATAACCAATCACAGTTCTTATAAATGCCTAGAAAATATACACATAAATTTGTATATCAAGGACAAACACATGAGGTCACATCTCTTCATAGTTTTTTATCAAAAGTCAAAGAAGGCAACTGAACAGGCTAAAACAGGAAGCCACAAGTATAGTAATTCTTTGAAACTGCAGCAATCCATAGAGAAGAGGAAACAAACCTAATCCAATTTGTTTCAATAGTACTTGAAAAAGAATCCACTCTCACAGAATCCTCTTCAGGTACTTGCTGGTAATACAAAAACAGCAAGTTGGCAAACACATTCACCAACAGACAAGTTTCCAGGAGAAGAATCCAAGAAAAGATCTCTAGATCCTCGGGTGGTATCACGTGTCTTGACATTATTATCCTGTATGTGTACAGTCTCACCTGACCAGGACTAGCGCTCAAGAGGAAGTACTTCCTTAGAAATTTCCCATGAGAGAAGACCTATAACAATCAAGGCCATCTCAAATGCAGAAAACCTAGGTAAAAATTTAAAGTCATATTTATAAAAAAAATGTAGAAACCAAAACTGAAATTAACCTATCCCTAATTTTTAGCTAGGAACCTCCCAAAAGACTGTTGTACATATTAGAGAATATGCCCATTTGCTTCTTTCCAATCCCTAGAAGCCAACCAAAGTCTCTTTCTCAGTTCCAGCTCACCTACTAAATGTTAGTTACCGATATCCTGAACAGAAATTCAAAGTGCAGTACTGTACAATTACACAACTTCTTGAGGTCATGCCAGGGACAAATCTATGCCTTAGACCACTTTGGGTGAATTGGCCAAGTGAATTCAGCACTCAGATCTTGTTCTAAGGGCTTTTGCTTCAATCCCAGAGTGATGCAGCACTGTTGCTAAAGATGCTATTGCTTTGCTAAAAACAAGTATCAGGGGTGACTGCAACCCAGTGTGTACACCAACTTGTGTCATTTTTTCTCTTTTAAAGCTTTTATTATTACTGTACAGTATTATTTATATGTTTTTGCTATTGCTGTTCATGTGCCAACAATTTTAAGTTTTAAACTTACAGTGTACTATACAGTTTAGCTACTTTTAGGGGTGAATCTAGTGATCTGAACAGAGGCTTCACAGTCAGTTGCAGAGAGTTAACTGTACATTTTGTACATTTTAGGCCTGGTGCTCCAAATTCCAGAAAAGACCCTATCTGGCAACCTCCAGGTCCTAAGTATGCCAGATAACTGTTCCCATACCTGTATTGAAAAGAACCAAAAATCAGTTGAAACCAACCCACTCAATAAGGAACGAAAAGGATCAAGAATAAGTTTAACCTTACGAAAAAAACAGGAAAAGAACTGAAAAGACAAAGAATCAGGTTGGATTAGGTTCTGACGATTCTTGATCCTTTTCGGTAGTATTTAGTACGACCAATACTACTGTGAATACCAAAAAGGACCAAAAAATCAGTTGACCCTAACCTGACGTGATTCTTGGTCCTTCATAGGTCTTTTTGGTCCTTTTCAGGTAGGTTAGGTTAGATGAGGTTTAACTGATTCTTGGTCCTTTTCGGTATTCAATAGGACCATAGAGGAAGGGGGTAGTCCATATTTTAAAGCATACTGTATAGGAAGAGCCATGTTGCTACCATTGAAGCAACTCAACTTTATGTAGCCAATTACCAGCCTCCACAATAACACCTAAAAGGGAGATATTATACTGCATATAGGCCCAATAAGTCCCAAGGTGTGAATCACAGCACACCCCTTAACATCTTCCAGAGTAGCACTATCCCACACCACATCTCTTAATTCATTCTAAGGACCTCAGGCTGGCCCTCCATCCTGCCAAGGAAACCTATATAGAATGGAGAGGACTAGTTTTTTATTTTAGCAGGAATAAAATTGTCTGCTTTCTAAAATCAGATACAGTACCCGGTATACTGTAGTTCACTGATGGTTTTTGTCAATTTGCCAAAGGCATGGAAGCCATGGCATACTTGGCAAAGAGTATACATTAAGTACTGTAATTACATGGCATGCTTGGCAAAGAGGTTACAGTAAGTAAAGTAGGTACAGTAAATTCAAAGTATTTTTTTTCGGTTCCCACAATGAATCGAACAATTAGCCAATGTTCTATAAAATATATCTCCAAAACAACTACTGTAGCTTAGTGGCACCCCTAGGACCTAGGTACTGTCCATGGATCCAATCTTTAGGCTCTAGTGGTCATTATACAAAATTCACTCCTCAAAGATGTCAAGTGATAAGACTTATCCACAGTTGTAAAAAGTACAGTAATTTGTTATCGTACTATGTAAAAGTATTGTTACATTCGCAAAAATGGTACCCAAGTAGTATGTAGTAGTAAAAGTATCCAAAGTTCAATGTACTCAAGTTGTAGTAAAAAAGTATCTCATTCATAAGGTACTCAAGAACTGAGAGTAAAAAGTAACAACAAATGCATTAAGCGCCTCAAACATTAAAATAAATCCACAGTAATTTATATATAAAATTTTTTTAACTAAATTTAAAAATAAAAGACACGTAGCATTACACATGTTTATTTGCAAATCTTTGTATAGATATTAATCAATAACTGATTCTCAAAATTAAAGCTGTCCAATCCTTTAGGCCTTAATATAATCCCAGCATGACTAAACAGATGCTCACAAGCAGCATGCCAAGTTGCTTGGGTACATAGATGAAACAATATGAAAGAATGCATGTGACTGGGCCAGACATGAAGAAACGACATGAAGTTTGTCCCGTGTCCTGTGATTGGATATTTAAAACTCTATTGTTTGGGGCATGTAACAAGCAATGATTTTTTTTTTAAATTGTATTTGAGTAAAAGCACTGTACAGCTGTACTAAAAAACCACTTAAGTAAAACTACTGAAAATTTTTAGTACTTTTTAAAAAGTAAATACTGTACTCAAAATTGTTACTTGAGTACAGTACTCAAGTAAATTTACTTCGTTGCTTTACAACTCTGGACTTATCAAAATACACTGAAAAAAATAATGTGGCTATAGCATTTGTACACTCAGTAAAAAAATATCTTTGAGGAGGGGTTGAATGAATGTGGAACTGAACACTTCTGTTGTCTCACTAGAGTTGGTAGGTGTGATTGTGTATATCGCATATCATAGAAAAAAGGTTACCTAACCTAACTTCTCCTATCCTAATATATAACCTATCTTAACAAACCTAACCTAGAGAAATTGTGACTATTTTCCAGTCACCATTACCTTTCTTTATCATCATTAACAATATATCACTATAAAACATGTCCTGTTCCTTGTTAGGTTAATGTGCTGTAGTGTGGGGAGGTGAATTATGGGACTGCAGATATAAATCCTTAATATAGGCAGATGAAATATACTAACCATATCTAACCTAGATTAAGTTCAGTTTGGTTGGTTTCTGTATTTCCAGGAGTGGTTTAGCTCTGCTGTGTCCTTGGGGAAAACCAATCAGCATCTAGAATACTTTTGAGTAATCATTTACGACTTCACAGCCGCTGATTTTTCATAACAAAATATTTAAAAACACTGCAATTTCACTGTGTTTCATAGGGGACACTATTGTAGCTATGGCAAATGTGTTAAAAAAATTGGTTTTTTTAAGTTCAAATTCAGCCAAGCAAACCAGACCTTTACCTAACCTAACTTCAACCTAACCTAACCTAAATTAACACCTGCCATGGGTGAACCTACTGTTACTGAGACGGGGGAAGCGGCCGTGAAGTCCTCCATATTAACCTATTTTTGACTGTATGGCTGCCTACAAAATATAACAATACTCTGTATAACTCAGTTCATATATAACCAGGTGATGGAAAGTTGAGTACATTTTCCTGAGAGCAATTCAAGTTTAACTCAGAAACTGTATGTAAAGGGCACAACAGTTAAACGACCATTGCATGAGGTAGCCACACAGGATATATGACCATGGTATATGGAATATCCTAGAATATCCAACACTTAGAAGGTAAATAATGATAAAGACACAATTCAATTTTACTCTTAACTGCACATGTCAATGACAGTGTTAATTGATATGCAATATACTATAAAGTGATCCATCACTCACCGGTGTAATTCACTTAAGAAATATAACACTAAATGAACTTTAACATATTAATCAATTGTTAATTCGGGTTAATATTTCACATATTTCGGTAAATATCATTAAGCATGTAGTCCTTTCTCTCACCCTATCTGACTAGCAGAAAGTGGCCCAATTTCAGTCATAGTGGTACTTTCCTCCTATTTCGTCCTCTCAAAGTCACTTTCCCTGTTTACAGTGACACCACAGTTGCCACATACACGTACCATGCACTTCTTTGTTGCAATTTTGTTTTAAAGATACGTTTTGAATATTTAGATACAATATTATAATGAATATATGAATTTTTATATGTATTGAAAAGTATTCGCTCTGGTGCTATTCATCAAAATTAAGATATGAGGCAACAATTACGTCCTCAAGTAAAATAGTACCATTGTGCGATATGGGGAAAATGGTTGCCTGTATTTGTTGCAAATATATAGCAGATTGAATTTCTGGTTAGAAAAATATATTTTACTAATATATTTTGTATATTGTATGTGATCATTTCTCGTGGGAAGAAATAACTTAACACAGACTTTACTCGTCGAGTTGGCTATACTGTACGAGCTGTGTGCGAGTATCTCGCCACAGGCGAATACTGTACAATATCACTAATAATTGCCTCAATTTCTCTTCTGAATAAATCTTCATAAAACTCATTTGTTCTCAGAAAAGGCGTCCAAACATACTCATGCGAAAGAAAAGGGTGTTTTTTTTAAATGCGCTATTTACAAGATTTAAAATTAGAAAGCAATTGTATGCTTAAGGTTCAGAAGTAAACTTTAATTTTATCCTCTTCGCCACTGATCAGCTTGTAGCGTGTGTGGTACACACACACACACACACGTAATTTAAGAATGGGGGTGAGATAGGAAAGATCAAACGTATATTGTATATACATTGCTGTGGGTTGCTGGAGAGTTTTTGTGTGGTTGAGGAGCAGGGGCCGCGTCAGAAGCGGCAGGGGGTACTGCTGGGCCGGGGGCTGCGTCTGAGGCAGGACGGGTGTGTTGGGGTCGGTAGGACGTGGTGCTTGGGGCAAGAAGAGGAGCGGCTGTCTGCTTAGAGTAACAGAGCTGCTCTAGGGTGTCTAACCTGCGGTGTAGAGACAGTAGTTATAGAGCCGATGAGAGCTGCCTCTGCGTGGGCAAGCCAGTCTTCCATGTTGCTTGAAGACTGGGACAGTGATCGGTTTCTCCTCCATCCTGTGTGAGTGCGAATCTCTGGGGGTCACCATTTGTGGTGTATGAAGTGTTGGTTCACACTCAGGATGGGATGGAGAAAGGAAACTCACAATGTGCTCTCTGTATACATGTTGTATTGGATGTACAGTGCAGCTTGGTGCTGGGAAGTGGCAGCGTGGTTACAAGCGTGATGTAGAGAGAGCTGGTTAGTGAGGGTGCTCAGAGGAGGACCAGCTTGTGGGTCGCCATGGTCGCCGGCGGGAGCGAGGGCCGCCAGGCAGGAGTGGAGGAGGAGGTGTTGCTTCAAGACTGGCTGTAGGTAGAAAAAGGTAGGTCACCACGAGGTCAGGCTTAATAGTTGACCTCCGTCATGTAAGGCGGCGCTGGTTGACCTAGACCACGAGGCATACACTGGGGAATTCGTGGGGTCGGCTACTCAGCGACAAACAGCATTTATAGGGGAGGAATCCACTACAATACTCCCCGTTCCCTCCAGGCGGTGTAGGAGACTTGTTGTCTGCAGGGTTGCATGGCACATGTGAGGCAGAACGAGCGGTGCATGCCACATGTGAGACATAACGGCGAGGGCGTGGATGAGCCGGCCGCTAGTGGAGACAACTTTGTCTAGACACACGAGATCTGTGGGAGAAGAGAGGGAGAAGGAGGGTTGTGGAGGCAATGAATGTTGTGCTTCCCTCGCGGCAGGTACAGAGTCCTCAGATGCGCCTGCTGGGGTGTGTGGGTCTGGGTCAGGAGCAGGGGCTGCGTCAGGAAGAGGGTCTATGACAGCAGCAGGGTACATGACAACAGCAGGGTCCACGACAGCAGCAGGGTGCAGGACAGTAGCAAGGAGTACCTGAGGGGAAAAAAGGGTGTGTGGGGCCGCACTCAGGCGCATGAGCCGCGTCGGGAGCAGGGGCTGCCAGGCAGGAGCGGAGGAGGGTCCGCGTCAGGAGGAGGGTCCAGGACAGTGGCAGGGGGTACTGCTGGGCCGGGGGCGGCGTCTGAGGCAGGACGGGTGTGCTGAGGTCGGTAGGACGTGGTGTTTGGGCAGGAAGAGGAGCTGGTGTCTGCTTAGAGAAGCAGTGTTGCTCGAGGGTGTCTAACCTGCGGTGTAGAGACAGTAGCTGTAGAGCCAATGAGAGCTGCCTCTGTGTGGATAAGCCAGTCTCCCATGTTGCTTGAAGACTGGGAGAGTGATCTGTTTCTCCTCCATCCTGGGTGAGTGCGAATCTCCTGGGGTCACCATTTGTGGGGTACGTGATATTTGGTTCACACTCAGGATGGGATGGAGAAAGGAAACTCACAATGTGCTCTCTGTATACATGTTGTATTGGATGTACAGTGCAGCTTGGTGCTGGAAAGTGGCAGCGTGGTTAGAAGCGTGATGTAGAGAGAGCTGGTTGGTGAGGTTGCTCAGAGGAGGACCAGCTTGTGGGTCGCCCTGGTCGCCGGCGGGAGCGAGGGCCGCCAGGCAGGAGTGGAGGAGGTGTTGCTTGCTGGTTGGTGTAGGTAGAAAGAGAGGTAGGTCACCACGAGGTCAGGTCTTATATAGCGGAGGCAGGCGTGGCTTAATAGTTGACCTCCGTCATGTAAGGCGGCGCTGGTTGACCTAGACCACGAGGCATACACTGGGGAATTCGCGGGGTCGGCTACTCAGCGACAAACAGCGTTTGTAGGGGAGGAATCCACTACAATATATATGTGTGTGTGTGTGTGAGTGTTTGTGTGAACACACACACACACACAAGCACAAAACACATACTAGAAATAAATAATAATGGGAAAATTTTCTCACCAATATTCAGAAACAAATTTATTAAAAATGTGAGTATACTCTCAAGTCTTTTACGTGCTTTATTAATAACAAAGCACGAGGTAGATCTATTGGTAGACTGTTACATTTTTAACACATTTGTTTCTGATTGTGTATATATGTATTGCATTGTATATATATATATATATATATATATATATATATATATATATATATATATATATATATATATATATATATATATATATATATATATATATATATATATATATACTATATACTTAAACACTAACGCTAAGAACAGTTAAGAAGTGCCCGTGCCCCCACAAAAAATACATAGTGACTCACTCGTCTTGTCACGATGGAGACTTGTGCAGAACTGAAGTGAATTGCTTGTAACTGGTGGATTGGTCGGCTGTACATGAACTGATATGACCCGAGACTGCATGGTTTTGCAGCTACTGGAGACGTTAATCCTTCCCTTTGTATCGGCGGCAAGTTAATCCTCGTCGTGTCTGACCTAACACCTGACCCACACCACATGAGCTCACTGGCGTACTTGTTTGAAGTTGTTTCCTTAATCCTCAACAGGTTACAGGTTGTGTGTGTTAGCAAGGGTGTAGCTCATGACGTGGCCGTGATGATGTGGGTCAGGTGTTAGGTCAGACACGACAAGGATTAACTTGCCGCCGATACAAAGGGATGGATTAACGTCTCCAGTAGCTGCAGATATGGGTGATGAGCAGACCCAAAAGTGCCGCCCCCCAAAAGTGCCGCCCGGGGCGGACCGCCACCCCCGCCCCCCCCTAGCTACGCTAGTGTCGCTGCCACCAGACCCCCTCTGGACAGCATGTAGCTCGTTAGGTAGCGTGCAGAGTGGACTAGGCATTGGGTTTGGTTTTCCATTGGCCAGATCGATAAGGGGAAAGAAGGGTGAAACCATAACATGTCTTAATTAATTTATTCCTTATAAAGCATACTGGTAAAAAACATACAAATGAATTGGTCTTCCTCAGAAGAACAACGAAAATGTTGGTTACCCAGATGGGCACCAGACGTCTTACATTAATGGCGTGTCATCCACATACTTATTGTATAACAATCTGTGACCACCTTAGTCATTCCTTCTTACACTATCCCTTAACACATCAGACTGATCCACCTATATGGAATATAGCACCGTCGGTTATCATACATAGTAGCACCATCTCAACACACATGATACACTCCACCCCTGCAGGTATGGGACTCCTTGTAACTTTTAGGTATACACAACAGGCGCCTCGTTCGCACACCGCCCTCGGTGGGTAAAGACGAGGGCTTCACCCAGAGACATACCAGTACTATTTCTATGCCTGGTATTATAGGTCGCTCCAAGTGACGACCGCAGAGTTTCTCACGGTCTCCTTATTTGTTACTACTCACTTGGAGTGGTGTGCTGAAAATCCACAGGCTCACAGTGGATTGGCATAGCTGGGAGTAGTCACCACCTGTTGGGACGCTCATAGGGATAATGGCTGCCGGGCAGCAAGGCACTCCGACCGCATGGGACCTGAGGTGACGGTAGAACGAAAGGGACTGAGAAATGCCTGACGGGCGGTTATCACACCCCCTAACACATTACTATTACACTTATAAACCAGGCAAAGCTTTAAACTGTAATAACTTCTATATAAGCCTTAATTATAGGGCGGGATATAGCCCGATAGGACACTGACCTGAGGTGACGGTAGAACGAAAGGGACTGAGTGCAGTGCCCCGCCGCTCGTCACCGCATAGGCCTACAGTTTCCAATCTTTAATTTTTACTTTTATTTCTTACGGTTCTCACCTGAACACTTTTCGGCATATTGTCACTCATGATTATAAACACATATTTTAACCCTAAAGTACAAACTAAGGTAAGGTTCTGGTTTGCTAATTCGTGGGTAAATTCATTGGGTTATAATATCAACGCGGCACACTCGAGGCGGGTACAGGACGCGCCTTAAAACAAAGGCCGAATGTTCATGGCGGGGGTGTATCAACTTCACTTAAAACTGTAATGAGGGATCCTCCTCTCACACATTGCACTATTTGAACACAGACATAAGATTCTCTGATCACTGTACCTGTCGTGGGTATATGTCACGTGAGGCTACGAGGTGTATTAAATTCATACCGACGCATACAAGATATTTCCTTTCAAGTATAGTTTCTGGGTCACTTCCAACACCTTACATAATTCTGTAGCATTTATCCTTTTTCCAGATCATTGTTCTCATGTATTTTCATATG